ATCCCCCACCGCGTCATACCAAAAGACGTTAAAATATGGTTCTTGTTGGTCCCTGCCTGGCGCTCGGCATTAATGGGTACAACAAGGACTGGTCGGCTCGGAGTCAGTATAATGTGTCTGAGTGGTGTATTCATGCTTCATTGCGGCATGGTATCTCAGTGGGCTAGCACTATAAAACCAGCTTAAGTCTGGGCTAGTACAAGCAGCCGCACATACACATACACACGCATGCACATCGTCATATGAGCGAAATATTCTCACGTACGACGTAAAACCCAATTTCACCTCACCTCACCTCACCTTAACTGTACACTACAGAATTCATGTATGTGATAATTACCTATTATAAACAGTGTGTACAATTGTTATAAAATGTGCCCAAGAGTACATCTGACCTTATCAGCACATTAAGAATGAATCACTGCTGTAACCGGAAACTGCAAGATGAAAGATCATCAGAGCAGCCAAAGAAGTGAAACTATCACCATATCCTGGCAGTTCCATAATATCCTGTGCAGATATCACCTTAAACTTGGTATAGGATACACTCCCATAACTTTCCTTCTATCGCTTTTTCATCTTAATGAAATATGTTCAAAAACATTTCACTTAAAATTCATTTTTTATTCCTTTCACCATGGCAGTTGGTTTATCAGACAGTAAATGATGCTATCAGCTAATGTCATGGTATGATGTCATACACAATAACCTTATGTCATACCATTGTTGAAAAACAGGATCAACCTACACTAGCCACAAAGTAACATCCTTATTACCATATATTCTAATATAATAGGGGCGGTGGGGTAGCCTAGTGGTTAAAGCGCTGGCTCGTCCCGCCGAAGACCCGGGTTCGAATCCCCACATGGGTTCAATGTGTGAAGCCCATTTCTGGTGTCCCCTGCCGTGATGTTGCTGGAATATTGCTAAAAGCGGCGTAAAACCAAACTCAGTCAGTCAGTCAGTCTTATATAATAATCTGATTATATGGCCTGTTATTACCAAATGAACAAGCCAGCACAACGTCACTGAATTGACCAAATATGGTTTTGAGGAGATACCTTAACAATCCTTATTTTGATTAAAATACCAAAATGGAAAATAAACAATATTTTATATGTAAGCATGTTGGAAGAGGCATTTATAACCTCCTGTTGGATGAACACTCTGATTGTGGAGCATTATGGGTAAAAAACAAACCAATCAGACGTAGCCAACTGATACATACATTTATAACCCGCTGTGGGATAAACAGACAGATGATGTAGCATTATGGGTAAACCTAACCAAACAGACAAGATGATCCTGCACAACTCAGTACAGGTTGTACATCAAAGTCACATGACTAACGCCAAATTCATCCCCAAACTAACCATAATCATATCAGCAGACAGGTAATTCGTACTCGCGCCCAAACGTTTTCTCCCAATTAACTGTAAACATACATTGTTGCTTTCTTGTCAGGATGAGTTAGCTACAAGCAGATCATGTAATCACCAAGCAGACATTCCAACATTGTATTCTCTCTATCCTTCTGTTCTCACAACAGCTACTCAACCTAACATATTACCTGGGGCTCACACATACTCCTGCATGCATGATTTGCAATGGCTCTAAATTAGTTTGTATATGAAAGTGCAGTTATTTGAGCATGTCAGGCCAAATTAAACATGCTGTATAAGGATGTTCCAGGTACGAAGGTTCATTCTGACAATTCCCTTGATCTGGTTCTGTGCACTGAGTAAATATTCTACAGTGCTGTAAGTTTTTATGTACAAGAAGAAACAATGTAACACGAATAGGTGCTTGCCGTCCAGTGTATAATAATTTCACCAGTATTCAACTGTACATGCACAATTCCTTACCCCAACTGACAGCCAAGCAGGTACCTATCAAGTATCATACATGTACAATCCATTGTCCAACCAACATCTACAACATCTGATATAATTCTTGCCCAACCAACACCTGTATAATCCTTAGCTCAACAACACCGACCACACCTGTATAATCCTTAGCCCAACCAACACCTACCACATCTGTATAATCCTTAGCCCTACCAACCTACCACCCTGTATACCACCACCTGTATAATCCTTAGCCCAACCAACACCTGTAACAGCTGTATAATCCTTAGCCCTACCAACACCTACAACAGCTGTAATAGCCCTATCCTGTATAATCCTTAGCTCAACCAACACCTACCACACCTGTACCTTAGCCCACCAACACCTAATAATCTTAGCTCAACCAACACCTACCACACCTGTATAATCCTTAGTTCAACCAACACCTACCACACCTGTATAATTCTGAGATCAACCAACACCTACCACACCTGTATCCTTAGCTCAATCCTTGTAGCCCAACCAACACCTACCACACCTGTATAATCCTTAGCTCAACCAACACCTACCACACCGGGTACCTACCATCCTACCACACCTGTATAATCCTTAGCCCAACCAACACCTACCACACCTGTATAATCCTTAGCTCAACCAACACCTACCACACTGTATAATCCTTAGTATAATCCTTAGCTCAACCAACACCTACCACACCTGTATAATCCTTAGCCCAACCAACACCTACCACATCTGTATAATCCTTAGCCCAACCAACACCTACCACATCTGTATAATCCTTAGCCCAACCAACACCTACCACATCTGTATAATCCTTAGCCCAACCAACACCTACCACACCTGTATAATCCTTAGCCCAACCAACACCTACCACATCTGTATAATCCTTAGCCCAACCAACACCTACCACACCTGTATAATCCTTAGCCCTATCAACACCAACAACAGATGTGTAAAACCCTGGCCACCCCTACAAGGTTGGAGCAGATATTTGCCAGATATTGAATACCAGGGAGGGTCCACAGGAGGTGCTGGAGAGAGAAGTATGTGATACAAACTTACATAACATTGTCCAACGTTGTATATATTTAAGACTTTCATAACATTGTCCAACATTGTAAATATTTAAGTACCACCTACTGATACATAGGATAAATGCATAAACATCCTTGTCTCTGTTGTGTACAGAATATAATTCTATTTATATCCTCCTAAACGGTACATGTATTTGATAGATCCTCTATTCAGAAGTTTTGATAAAGGTCCAAGACAGTAAGTCTATCCACAAATGACACACAGGTCATAAACCATATCAGTCTAATTTCTTACACAAATAATAGAAAAATCTGTTTGACCCAAATAACAGGCTGTTGATATGACAAAATCATAATTACAGTCTCACATACATTTATTCCATCAAAATATTGGATTTCCTAAATATATATTAATTAAGACTCCACTAAACATACATAATACCAAATAAATACCAAAATCAAACAGACCAAATCTTTAATTTTCAACAATTACACAGAGTAGAACAGCCCGACACAGGACTGGGTCTGGCAGGATCTCCCTGCTGACTGACACCTGGAAGGTCAATCACCATGTTAACCCCTGAGCCTTACAAACCTGGGACCATACCTATTTTGTGTCTATTCAGCACAATCTTTCCCCCATCTGACAGCTATCCTCTATTGAAATTTTTGACTTCAAGCCAAACGGAGGATCAAGGAATCCTTGTGGGGGATTACATTGTAATTGGCTTCAAACTAGGTACAGGCAGCTAATCAAAAGATGCTAAGTGCTTAAAGACTACCCAGAATATGTAAGGGATGGTTTGATTTGAATGAAATAATTCAGCAGATAATCAAAATCAACACAGCGTCTTAGAGTCTCACAATGAATGCTTGAGGGGTTATTTGAATGAAACTGTAGACACCTGGTGTCGATTCCATAACGGTTCCATGATTCAGCATGTTTTAATGGTGGGTGATCATGCTGTGTGCTTGTGTTTTACAAAGACGATAAAAAATAATGCTCCCATGTATTCATTCCAGCAAGAGTTTCACACTATGTGCGTAAAATCTCCACACAATCTGAGGAATACCTGTGGTGAATTTCATTAAAATGTTAACTTATATAAACAACAGAAAGTTCAACAGGAATTTTAAAAATTCAAATCTCCAAAACGTTTTTGCTCGTACTGGTTCCATTACTGATGAATATGGTTGATATTTCCCTCCTGCAGTGTAGGACATTGAGTCTGACTATAGTGTAAGTAATTGGCTTCCTTTGCAGGAACTATGACTAAGAACAGGTTTCTCCTCCCAATTGTTGTAACCAGAAATATTTTTCCCTTCACGAGATGACTCACTTAACACAAGCATATGCCAATTTAAATGTAGTTTTAGAACAGAAATTTAAATTTATTCAGTTTCAGAGGAGATAATATTCTGGTTTTACATGATGCCATGGTGGAGAGGACAACCAATAACTTACAATACACTCATGCCAAAGATAAACAAAGTATGCAAAGTAACAACATAGTTTCACACTACACTTTACATGAGGGCTGTTACAACATAAAAGGGTGTAATATGATGTGTATCACCATACGAAAAGATTATGAACTTCACAAAATGTAAACACAGTTCCACACTACAGCTGTGTGAATCACTTCACATCATGGTTGCTTCAACATACTGGTGTGTAATACGATGCATATCACCACAAAAGACTAGCAATAAAACACTTATACCAGGGTTAATTATTCTGTTCAAACATGGATGGATGTATCGGTGCATGACCAGCCTGCTCTTCACAATGTGATGTGAGATGTGTTGGGCCACCCATGTGGAGCCTGGCAGGGAATGTGCTGCCATCATTCCACCCTCTCCTCCTCCCAGTCTATGACTAACATCTCTATACTTCACACAACAACGCACCACGATTTATAGCCGCCAAGGAAGCAGATTTCCCAGGCTGAACCACATACTCAAACAATTCTAAGAAATCAGGATGTGTGTATTCTCAGGAACTGGGGATTCAAGTCAGATATCTTTGCCAATGTAAAACATATATATAAGCCAATACTGATTACAGACATAAGAGACTGATTTTTCGCAAATTTTTACTGTAACACTTCTAAGTAATCTAAAACTTTAACTTTAAATCTCCAGAAATCAAGAAATTAACTTTAAAAATATTAAATGCATCACTCCTATGATACAACTTAAATTACATTGCATCATATGTTTATAAGAAAGTAATCAAACAGATCACCATATGTTTAATACATGTGCACAATTCAGTTGACTGATTGTAAAAATAAATTGTACTGTTATGGAAGAAATCTAAATACATGTATGGTGATATGTAACATATCCCACTTAACATCGAATGTTGGCTGATGTTTCGGGGTTCAGCCCACATTCTTTTGAAAAAACCCAGAATGTAATGGTGGACCCAGTTGAAAAAGGGCTCAAATACTTTCATTTTATTTGCATAAACAAAAACAAATGGTCTTGCTGATGGTAAAACTTCAAACTATGCAGACACCCCTCCTCTTGTCACTGCCCCATCTTTCTGGTACTTCACTTATCTCTGAAGCTTTAACACCAGTATACTCTTCACATCATTCTGTCTTGTGTAACAGGATGGATGACTTGAACACTGAATAATCTATATCTCACAAGACATACTTGCTACACAAGCTACTGCACTTCCTTCCTAGATTGTCAACATAAATATATACCTAGTACAAAGACTACCGACAGCAGGTGCCCCTTCTAACCCCTTCTAATATACACCATATAGTACATGACATGCACTAGAAATGTATTATCAACCCACTGAGTACATGTATAACAACAACGTAATACATGGAAAACATTCTTCACTGTAAACCATCCCTAAAAGTAATTTAGTTCAAATCAATTTTCAAATTTACAAAGTTCTGCATCAAAGGTTTATGTTTATACAAAGAAGGCAGGCAACTGTTAAACTCAGCTGCCGGGGATAAACTGGATTATACACTGATGGGCTCGGCCGAGTATGGACCAGTACATGGGTATAACAGCCCGTATCCCACTGTATGTAATAAGGCACTAATGGTTACGGTGAACGCCTGGTGCCTTAACTCAACACAGTAGTTGTTCAATGAACGGAACCAGCAAGGAGTAAGAGGGCCTCCTGCAATATCATGTCAGATCATTCATCTTTATCAGCATCTGTTTGAAACATTTCTGCATACTTTCAAAAACAGGAAGTTTTAACTTGCCTAAAAAATATTGTTATCTTGGCAAAGATATTTGTGGACGAGTGGGCGATATCCTAATGATCTGCCTGATATAACTACATATAATATATAATCATTTATTTGCATAAGAGTATAACAAACATTAGATATTAATATCAAGATAATGACCAATAATCAGGTTCAAAACCATTACTAGTTAAAACGTACACTGAAAGTGTTTTTCATTAGATCACATGGCCGTACAGTGTTGCAGGGTGTACCACATGTGCAAGCTAAGCGTATTTCCGACATTTCCCGGAGTTGAAGCTAAGGCAATATACATCTCCAGGCTGTCCCACTAAGCATCCTGTAATGACGAAGCCATACTCCCCTGCCACAATGCAGAATAATAAATATTTTCCTTACAATTTATGAGGAGCTGAAATTCCACATACAAAAAGCATCCTTCCAAATCCCTACTACGGGCTATAAAATAAGACTGGTATAGAGGACACACTTGTTATTCCATCCTTGCCTGAGAGTACCGTGGTAAAATAGTTTATAGCATGATCACCATCAACATTCAATATGATCACCATAGCATCACTGATATTATAATAAATCTTCAGAGTTTGCGAGCCAGTCACTGGTCCAGAGCCTAAGTCCTGACAAGTGTCCAGTAAGTGTACCATGAAGACTGACTGACTGAGTTTAGTTTTACGCCGCTTTTAGCAATATTCCAGCAATATCACGGCTGGGGACACCATAAATGGGCTTAACATATTGTGCCCATGTGGGGAATCGAACCTGGGTCTTCGGCGTGACGAGCCAACGCTTTAACCACTAGGCTACCCCACCGCCCCTCACTCATATGATGCTAAATCGGCTTGAGTGTCGATTGTGTGGCATGCTGCTGCTTAAACTGGGTGTTGGAACCCGGTCGGAGTTTAAGACACAGATAATCATGGTCCATTTGTTTCCTTTAGAGCACAAGCTAGGATACCGAATTACCGAATGGGCTTCACACATTGTGCCCATGTGGGGAATCGAACCCGGGTCTTCGCCGTGACGAGCGAACGCTTTAACCACTAGGCTACCCCACCGCCTCCGTACCATGAAGAAGTCAATACCGACACGAAATCTACAGGAAGTGTTATCATGGACAAAGTTCAGCAAAACAAATTGAGGCGAAATGTGGTTCAAGATTACAGCACTTATATAGGGACGTGCATGCATGTGCATGTGTGTGGCTGCTCTAGTCTGGGTGAATGCCAATTTTATAATGCTATCCCACTGAGAAACAGAACACTGACCCCAAGCCAAACCAGTCTCATTTATCCTCTCAATGTCATTGTCAGGCAGGGTAACATCAAGTACCACTACCAGGGATCAAACCACTGACATCAGGCTCTCAGGGCAGACACTGCATCCACTGAACTGATGTAGACAATGGAGTGAGTGAGTGAGTTGGGTTTTACGCTGATTTTAGAAATATTCCAGCAATATCATGATGTGGACACCAGAAATAGGCTTCACACATTGTCAGCATGGTAGACAGTGGAGGAAACAGACTTCATTATCTTAGGCAGTGACTGTATGCACAGATTGTGAGCAGTATTTAACTTTTGCAACCTAGGAATTACTGCAAGTAGAATTTTGTCTTTTACGTTATCCTTGGGTGAAGTAGACAGTGGAGGAGACAGACTCCATTACCACTGATTGATTATCAGCGTACAGATCGTGAAGCAGTATTTGACTTTTGTACATTACTTTCATGCAACCTAGGAATTACAGCAAGTAGAATTTTGTCTTTTACGTTATCCTTGGGTGAAGGTCTGAGACCAGTATGACAAAGAAAGGCAACTGGGGCCTGCATCCAGACCCACATACTTGACGTCAACATGCAGAACACCAGCGAGAACATCTGTTGTTCACATAAACCTGGCCAAGTGTCAAGAACTCCGGACAAGTAGATATCTCGACAGGCCACTTGCTGTAGGACAGGTGAATATTTTGACTTTGTCCCCCTCCCAAAGCTATAAAGAAAAGTATTGAAAGTCAAGGCTGACAATGATGCATCAACTTTCATAGTGCCTGATTCAACACAGTGTTGGAAACTAAGCATGAAAGTCAAGAGGTCCTTGCCATAAGCTCCGGGCTACAAAACTTTAGGATCTGTAGATTCTAATACTCTGGCAAGAAATCTTAGTACGAGTTTATAATATTACCTCAGATAAGGAAATAAATACTAAGTCTAGCCGTATGTCAATATGTGGGTGACTTTAAAATTGTTTTTTCGTGGGCAATAATCAAGCAATATCACAGCCTGGAACACAGGAAATTGTCTTCACATATTTTATCGGTAATCAAACCGGTTTCGGTATTGTGAACAAACACCTTAACCATATGTCTACCAGCACTCATGCACCTTGTTCATTTGGCAGTCTTCAGGCACACAGTTAAATGTGAATAGACAGTTGGATACACTGAAGCACTGAGACAAGTATAATTACCTCGACAATGTGACCATATCCCTTATCGCTGCACCATTACAGCTCAGCGATGATGCTGATACAGAAATCACTAAAGATTGACTGTTTCAGACTCCAGTATTTTGGGCGGTGGGGTAGCCCAGTGGTTAAAGCATTCGCTCATCATGCCAAAGAAACAGGTTCGATTCCCCACATGGGTACAATGTGTGAAGCCCATTGCTGGTGTCAATCCCACTGATGTTGATTGAATATTATTAAAAGTGTCAAAGTCACTCACTCACTCTAGTATTTACTGGTTAGCATCATGTGGATGGAGGAATATCGCTGAGTGTGGCGTTATACAACAAACACATTACGCTACTGTTTCTATCACTTAATCTCAAACTAGTTACAGTCTACTGGTTTTAAAGATGAATGAGTTTGAGAAAGGAATCACATGCTTTCACATCTGTATCAGCAGCATATTTGTATATCCTGACATGTCTTTGTGATTATGTAAATGTTTATTACCTAGGTTTTGAATACAGCATTGTTATACAACACTGTCAGTCTATTTGTGGTTACCAGACAGTGAAAACATACAAACTCATAGCCAGCATGTAATGGCTGCAGCCATAACTGACAGGTGATGTAATGCATCTTTAATTTCCACTTATCACCTTCACACCTATTGCCCACACCCCTCTTCAAGGTCTTAATTCTGAAAAACATTCTCACCCAAACCATGCAGGTAAATAAGCCTCATTTATTAACGGTTATTCACCCTATTCAAGATGGGCGAGTTATTTCATCTTTATCTATTTGTGATTCATGGCGTATTGAGACTGTTAAAAAATGATGCATTGACATCATGGGTTGTGTCATTATTGCTTACGGAATGTAAACACGATAACCTAGAGTACAGAAATAGCACTGTGGTCGTCAACATATTTAAACATATCAAAGGGGTGTAACAAATAGTTTTACACGAGTGTCTTGGTGGCAAGTAGGTTACAGTAAGTAAATTAATGCTATAAGCATGAAATCAGCTTGACAATAACCGTATGTGCCAATTACATCTTTGGGCCTCTCATTATCTACCTGAGGACCCTTCTTTCCCCTGGTTAAGAAAGTCTCCAACATAATTATTTATGTTATTACGGTCTGGCTCGATACAGCACCAGTGATGCTGTCATCATACCCTGAAGCAAAGAGGACCCCTTCTTTCCATGACCGGAACCAATGTAAATGATTATGTTTGGACGTCTGGCTCGATATGGACTCGTATTCGGCGCTGATGCTGTGTCATCATGTGTTGCTGCTTGTGATATCGGTAACTTGTTTGTTTCTCCTAGACGACAACTTTCCCACAGACATCATACGTGGGAAAACTACTGAATATGGAGTATGTAACAAATAGCATATCGTGGTATGGAACTAATTTATCTGAATAAGCATTTTCCTTTCTCAAACGCCATGCATGTCTGATCAAGAAGATACATATAATTATGACTAAAGTAGATTTTAAAAAATACTGTTTTTAAGTTAACTATTGTCAAAGGTATCACCACAAAATTTTAAGATAAGAATACAATACGATATAAAGAAACACAACCTACTTGGGCCAGACAGTAATTTACATGAATCAGACATGCACCAGTGGTTTATTTCACTCTGCAGACACCATTCAGAGTATATCGGTATTATCTCACATTTGAAGGTATAAAAATGACATTTAATTCAGCAACTTACTGTGAATGAAAAAAATAAGTTTGCAGACTAAACAAGCCTCTATCCAGGAAAGCACCTGTTAGCCATTAAGTAGCCCTTATCAACAGTTGCTTTTAATGAATTGGTTACATTTAATTCGTTCCCACAAAACTGTACTGTAAACAGAATATACCCACCAGTGCATTGTGGAATATTGCCTATTCATCTCGAGTGAACACCTACATCGGGGCCTTAGCATGCTTAGGGTACTCAGCCATATCAATGTCTATTTAATATGAGACTGGGTAAAACTGCAAGCTTGTCGTTTCTTCTTTAAGCAAGATTCTGTACGTTCAGTACACGGGACACAGGAAAGCTAGCGTAATGGATTCAGTGTGGGCAACTTTCAAATATGGAGAACTGCTCTATCTGGGCCAACCACAAGCTGAACATGTGCTGTACACACTCAACAGGTACAGGTTCTGGAAGGTCCTTCTTGACAGAATTTCATCTTTTTACTTTTACTGGTAGTTTTGAATAGAAACAACATCCATGTATGTAAAATGTATGTACCTTTTCCAATCATGAAATGAATTCATTAACATTGCATAGAATTACAGAGCACTAGTCTAGTGCTCACTGTTGATTGTCTGAATGCACTATTGAGTCTAATTATCACCTTGTTTATTGTGGAGTGGTCCAATACACCAACTTCAATTAAGATAGTGGAGATAATGACAGTACTTTTCTATAGCGTGTTATTCAACATGGGATAACAGTGTGATACCATTGTTATCCCCACAATGGTGTAATCCTGCAACAAAGTTCCTTCCATGCAACAATGTAACCAAACAAACTGTTATACAATACTAGCTGATAAGAACATGTGATAACACTTTTATATTACCCATTTTAGTCTGGGAACGTTTGACTCTTTTAAAGAAAATGTTACAGCATTATCTTTCACAAGGAAACCGGAATCTTTGATTAATGAAACCTGAACATTTTACAAAACTTTCACGAATTTATTTCGTTCTCAAAGTACTTTTTCATCACTCATATAAATTGCAGTAAATGAAGCATAAAATGCAGTAAATGAAGCGAAAAATACAGTTCAATCGTGAACTTTTGTACTCTTTATATGTACTGCAGTAGCCCGGGTCAAGTCTCCAGGAGTTTCGTCTGTTTAATATTAAAACACTATTCAAGAAATAACATGTGAAAAGTCAACCCTGCACCGCCAGTGGGATTTCACCAGTAGAAAAGTATATTGATCAAATACAATAGGATACTTACACCTTGTTCGGCGATTGCCCATCCAGCAAAAAACACAGTCGCTATAAATAAAGTCCTCACTCCACACAGCCCCTGTATAAGGTTCGCCATAGGGACTTCTCTCGCCACTGCCAGTGGACTTCTGCACGATATCCTAACTAAACCGATCTCCCTCCCGATGCAAAGGTAACACACTCTTTAGAAAGAATATGTCATCCGCATCGCATGCAGGCGTTTAGCTACCTCCACAAATCTCACTGTCTAACTCTTCCAGTCAAACAGCGAAAAAGAGTATAGCCTCTCCTCTTAGCCCGTCAGTGGGGGATAATCCAGTGAGTTCACTGGTCTGAGGTGGGAGTGAATGAACCGCCGTGCCGCCCTCGTACTGAGGGGGGTATTTCCTTAGGATCTAATCGTCCTATGAGACAAAACGACTTAGTCATGCATACATTACAGTGCAGGGCTGAGGGGAAACAGTTTCCCTCATTGTGCGACACTATGGGCATTGTTTATTCACGAATGGCGTAGTTTGACAAGTATTTAGCCCTTGTGCGGAAGGGGTGTGGGCAATTCCTTCAACAGCCAGATTTCCAAACCAAGACAGGAGGAGATGGTATTTTGTGGCTCGTCTGCAGCCGCTATTCTGGATTTCGCACCTTCTCTCCAGTTACCAAAGCACCGCCAGCTCCCTAGAAAATCATATACATTCCCGTGCAAGTCTTTCGTCTCGCTTTACGGCCCAACTAACATTGGGTGTGAAGGGTTTCTTAAGAAGACATTTCTTCGCAAACTATAGCAGTTTAAGATTTTCGAACATCAACAATTATCTTGGAGTGGATTTTCACAGCATGCCCCTTGTCAGCAACTTCTAGTGTCTGAAATGAATCCTTATTTCACTGAAAATGAGTTACTGAATTACCTAAACTGCAATATCTAGACTTGCCAAATATTATAGACTTGCTTGGCTTTCCAGGATATTATTGTTTCAGGGTCTGCATGACAGACAAAGCAACTTTGAAATATGTAGGCCTATTTGCTGCCGTTTGTGGAAATAACAACGCTGTAAATGTTTATCATCGTTCATTGTGCTTGTAATTTTATAGCACTCATTTTGATTCATGAATCATAATGCTTCACGGTCCCTGAATTATTTTTTCAAAGCATAACAATGAAAGCTCTGAACACAAGCAAAAGTATATTTTATTGAAAGTTATTCAGTTTTCTCGGCGGCAGTATTCATTGTGTAAGTTCAAACGCGCGTCCGTTGTCAGGAAGGAAATGTGGAGGTAGCGAGACCAGGGGCACACAACACTCTGTCGACATGACAAGTTATGTAATCTTATGTATGACTTGATTGTCTGTCTAATAAGACGCATGGCTTGACACTTGTCACTAAATAAAATGGGATTGGCTCTGCAGTCAAAACAGTAGTAGTTTATCGTGATGATGCTCTGTACGCGATAGCTACATGGACTATATATACAGGTATATATCACGGGTTATGCTCTGTACGCCATAGCTACATGGACTATATATATATGGTATATATCACGGGTTATGCTCTGTGCGCGATAGCTACATGGACAATCTACGGGTGTATACCACGAGTTATGCTCTGTACGCCATAGCTACATGGACAATCTACGGGTGTATACCACGAGTTATGCTCTGTACGCCAAAGCTACATGGACTATATATATAGGTATATATCACGGGTTATGCTCTGTGCGCGATAGCTACATGGACAATCTACGGGTGTATACCACGAGTTATGCTCTGTACACGATAGCTATATGGACAATATACGGGTATATATCACGGGTTATGCTCTGTACGCAACAGCTACATGGACAATATACGGGTGTATACCACGAGTTATGCTCTGTACGCGATAGCTACATGGACTATATATACGGGTGTATACCGCGAGTTATGCTCTGTACGCCAAAGCTACATGGACAATATACGGGTGTATACCACGAGTTATGCTCTGTACGCCATAGCTACATGGACAATATACGGGTGTATACCACGCGTTATGCTCTGTACGTGCCAGATACATGGACAATATACGGGTGTATACCACGCGTTATGCTCTGTACGCCATAGCTACATGGACAATATACGGGTGTATACCACGAGTTATGCTCTGCACGCGATGGCTATATGGACAATATACGGGTGTATACCACGAGTTATGCTCTGCACGCGATGGCTACATGGACAATATACGGGTGTATACCACGAGTTATGCTCTGTACGCCATAGCTACATGGACAATATACGGGTGTATACCACGAGTTATGCTCTGTACGCCATAGCTACATGGACAATCTACGGGTGTATACCACGAGTTATGCTCTGTACGCCATAGCTACATGGACAATATACGGGTGTATACCACGAGTTATGCTCTGTACGCCATAGCTACATGGACAATATATACGGGTGTATACCACGAGTTATGCTCTGTACGCCAAAGCTACATGGACAATATACGGGTGTATACCACGAGTTATGCTCTGTACGCCATAGCTACATGGACAATATACGGGTGTATACCACGAGTTATGCTCTGTACGCGATAGCTACATGAACAATCTAAGGGTGTATACCACGAGTTATGCTCTGGACGCGATAGCTACATGGACAATCTACGGGTGTATACCACGAGTTATGCTCTGTACGCCATAGCTACATGGACAATATACGGGTGTATACCACGAGTTATGCTCTGTACGCCATAGCTACATGGACAATATACGGGTGTATACCACGAGTTATGCTCTGTACGCCATAGCTACATGGACAATATATACGGGTGTATACCACGAGTTATGCTCTGTACGCCATAGCTACATGGACAATATATACGGGTGTATACCACGAGTTATGCTCTGTACGCCATAGCTACATGGACAATATATACGGGTGTATACCACGAGTTATGCTCTGCACGCGATAGCTACATGGACTATATATACGGGTATATATCACGGGTTATGCTCTATACGCAGTAACTACATGGACAATATATACGGGTATATATCACGGGTTATGCTCTGCACGCGACAGCTACATGGACAATCTACGGGTGTATACAATGAGTTATGCTCTGCACGCGACAGCTACATGGACAATATACGGGTGTATACAATGAGTTATGCTCTGCACGCGACAGCTACATGGACAATATACGGGTATATATCACGGGTTATGCTCTATACGCAGTAACTACATCGAAAATATACGGATGTATACCACGAGTTGTGCTCTCTACGTGACAGATACATGGACAATATATGGTGCTAACAATTCTTGATCCATAATATGGGCAGACATGGGATTCGAACCCACTGTTGCAGCTCTCGAGCATGCCCAAGGTACACAGCTCTAGGTCAGAAATTGTTGCGCTTATGACAACCAGCCAACCTCAACCGCCTCAGGGATACGGGAACTAATATTCTTTGGTTCAATTTTTTCATCGTCGAACAGTGAATAGGGTTTGGTGAAAGTAAAATTAATTAATATTCCAAACATGACATTCCCGTCCTATACTTCCTGAGTGATGTCATGTCTCACACACGGGGATGAAACATCATTTGTCCGGTAGGTATATCGGTGTATTGTGGTATAATAATAGCCCAGCATCTTTACAAAAGGCAGGCCAAGCTGCTTGTGGATACGTACACAAGGCGTATATTATGCGAGGTGTTGTAACACGACAGCAGCGGAAATGGATGCATATGAAAGTTACACACTGTAGGCGGATCCAGAGATGCGAGGCTGGCCGGACTGACCTGCTTAGAGCCAATGTCGTTTTACGCCGCATTCAGCCATATCCCAGCGGTTTATGGACATAATGTGTGGACGAGTTGGGTTTAACGCCATTTGAACGTCATTTAAGTTCCATAAACAATATCCCGATTCTATGAACAGTATTCCGGTTTGTGAAATGTATTTCTGTTCAATTAACAATGTGTCGAAGTGATCAAAAGGTCGTAAACATTTAACATTTTGATGAAATCTTGAAAGGGAGTATGCTTCTGAAAACAATCAATTGGAGACATAATTATCTCGAACGTGTATTTGTAATTGCGATCGTGGGTTGCTATCACACCTAAGGGACGCAACTCTCACATAGAAATGCGCTGCCATAGACGACATGGTCGCGATCCAGGGCCCCGTTTCACAAAGCTCTCGTAAGCCTTAGATCTCGTAATTTCCCTCGTAGCATTCGTACTCCCTATGTTGCAGTACAGGAGGTACGAATGCTCCGAGAAAAGTTACGAGATCTTAGGCTTACGAGAGCTTTGTGAAACGGGGCCCAGGCTATAGTGAAACCACGACACACAGACAGACACGTTTCACGTGGTAACCACGTTTTTTCCATTTGTTTGGTCCCAGTACGACACAGGCACTGGAGGATTATTAGTACTGAAGTCTGACTGGACTTGTTTGGTGTTCGTTAACTACGCATTCAACACTATTGCAGCTATATTACGATAGTCTGTAAATAATGAAGTACGGACCAGACAATCCAATGATTGATGTCAGGGTACGATGACAAGCTATAAACAAAGTCACCGATTCTGATCACTCCGACCATTTGGTCGCCTCTCTTGACCAGCTTATGTCTGAGGGGGCTGTACCCGGAATGTCCCTGTGGACATGCATGGAGGAAACCTAATCTCAACAAATATAGGGCCCGTAAGTAGGCCACGGCACTTTGCGAGACCTTAGTACTTCCGGTGACAAGCAACGTTTCATACCTTTTCGAATGGTCTCATGGTTGTCAGTTGACGGTATGAAACCGATATTCCTTGCAGGAATAACCATCCCCTAATAAAACTATTGCGATTGTCAACAGCTGTGACAGCCATGCATGGTTGTACACCTTGTCCGGTCTAGTAAAGTCATATTTGAACCAGAACTGGGCCCTTGTTCTCGAAACGTTCGTAGCCCTGAGAATTCTTAACTTTGATCGTAGCCAATATATTAAGAATGGGCTTAAGAAGTTCGTAGGGCTACGAACGTTTCGAGAATAGCGTGGCTGGTTCTTGAATGTACGGTTTTCACCTGACATCTGGTACTAGAAGTACGCTGGGCCCCGTCTCGCATATCGCAAGTTGGCGCGCGCAAAAGGAGCCGGGAACCAGCTTATTACCGCAAGTTGCGCATTGCGAGACTTAATTACAGGCCCTATCAGATGTAAATTGTGGGTGTTTATATGTTCATTCAACATGGCGACGGTCTGTAAATAATCGAGTCAGCATCAGACAATCCAGTGATCATCCGGTAGTCGCTTTAAACGTCAAGCATAGGTTCCTGGACACCAATTAAAACCCGGAATCCACACGGGCACCTGCATGGGTGACCACCTGAACATGCCACATATATACATTCAGTATTAGATCGTACCCAGAGGAACAGTTTGGTTTGTGTGACCCAAGCCCCGTTCACAAAAGATAAACGGGACCCATGCATATTGACACGCTTTAGACTCAAATCACCCTCTCACAGTTATTGTAAGACAATGTGTTTTTGTATGGAACCATCTTAGCGCTGATATCATTTTGTGAACTGAACCATTGTTGGTAGAGATGGAATCCTATTTCCGATGATATGAGTGAGATTAGTTTTACCCCTGTCTCGGCAATATTCCAGCTTTGTTACTGGGCACCCTACAAATGGGCCTCCCACGCTGTACCAATGTGGGGTACCAATGTGGGTACCAATGTGGGTACCCGGGTCTTCGTTTAACTCATTCATCCCCTCACAGAATCTACTGTTTCCTGTGTATTGCCTGGGCAGATTGAGTGAATGCTGTTGAAAGCCGTACCCGACAATATTCCATCCACCTCACGACTGCCTGTAAATAGTCGAGTCTTGGCCAGAGAAACCAGTATTGATCGATGATGTGGACGGTGACACGATATGAACTACAGCGTACGCCACCGTAGTGTACGTCATCGTGGACATACGACATGAACTACAGTGTACGTCATCGTGGACGGTGATACGACATGAACTACAGCGTACGCCACCGTGGACGATGACACGACATGATGCCAAGCCAGTCAACCCAAGTCTCTTTATTCGACTCTAACGATAGATGTGTATACTTGGGATCCTCTCCTGTGTCCAGTCGGGTCTGTCTCGAGGGAGAGCTCTCTATCTGCCGTGTCACAACAGACGTCTGTTTGATCAGTGTCTAACAACCTAACACCAACCTGACCTTACATTAGCACTGTTCAGTGGCTGTAAAATACTTTAAGTCCTTATGTCATGGCGAGAAGGGTTGATAGGTAGAATCCGGCGTCTGTGTGCCCTGGAAGAAGTCTGGTGTCTCACACTGTCACGTAGGTGCGGATTATACCTGTGACGAACCAATCACCCGTGATGTGCGAGCAAATATTATAACGCTTATAGGTCTAACGACCAGTTACCTGTGTCAGGTGCGTGTCACAGATAGAAAGTGATCCTGACCGTGTGCACTCCAGGGCGGGCACGGACAGGGAGCACAGTTGGCTTCACACACAGAATGAACTGGTGGAAATAGTTGGCAACAATTCAGGAATATCACAGACATTATTCAGGCCTGAAGTATGCCTAAGTTTCGATTAACAAACAAATAATTTGATTCATTATTCATTAATAACATTAAAATGAAAACGTTTGTTAAAACTTTCAGGGTATCAACTGTTTGTACGACAATAGTCTTGACTTTTCTGATTTTTTAGAATTAAAAAACGTTAAATTACTTGTTCAGATTGTTCAAATTTTATTTAGAAGTTCTCCATCTTTCAGAGAGAATGGTTACAGCGCTGAAGCAGTGACGGAAACTGTTTCCCCAACAACATATCCACTTTGTTCATGAAATCCATAAAGCTATTTGGGATTTACCCAAAACGTTTTGTTTGAACATATGACAGCCATTTAGCACAAAACAACCCAAGATCAAAAATGTGCCAGTTGACGTTCACTTACAGGGCTAGACATGTCCTTCTGTTAGCCCAGGGTATAACAACAGCACCCCTTAAACACCCCCTATTGATGTAGACGCTACCCCTATTACTGTACCCTCCCATAACTGGCCGCGGCAGCACGCCCTGTATGACCTCGTATTCACCAGCATCTACTCGGGCGTCTCGGTCAACTGTTAAGCCTTGAGGTCTGAGATATGTTTGTTGTGAAAGTAAGAGCGACCAAACGGGGTCTTGCCAGGAGAAAAGCCCACTGAACGAGATATAAACCTCCTTATGTCTCGTTTGAGTGACAAACGAGTCAATAAAGAGTACATTGTGTACGTACGTGCGATAAATTCGTAATATGGCGTTGAGGTTTGCCATCCTTTGCGTGGAGTTGCCCTCCCTTGGTTCAAGGTTTTAAAACGAATGAAGTTTGAATTGGTCCTGGCTGTCTGAAAGAGTGGATAATAGTGAATATTATTGTCTTCTGATTTGTCATGTTTAACATTATCTGTATCTCGACTGGAATTAAGTTCAACTGATTTCTTTGCAATTTCTCATCAAACGTGATGAAAGATTATTTTTTTTGTTTTATTCTAAAATTACAAGTCGGTTGCATATGAAGAGGCAGAAAGCTTGGCGCAAAGGCATGGCTGTTACTTAAACCGCTCCTATGCCGTTTATACACGCTAGATATATTTTAAAAACTATTTCCATCAACGACGTTAGAGACACCGTCCCTCCTTCCCGGAGTCCGTGAGATATGCGTGGGTGCCCACTCCGCTGACATTTACAGCAAAAACTGGTTCATCTCGGGAGCCCTGACCGTTAGGTCGGATGTAACGGTTGATCGACGGGTGTGTTTGGGCGATTGTTTCAGTCAGCACATGAAACGGTACTGACGGGAGATGGGGTGACGTAACGTCGGCGTAAGCTTCATTTACCTTTCAGAGCTACGTGTATGCACGTGTGTGTGCGTGCTGGGGTGTAACTTCTTCTACTAGTACCACCCCCAAAAGATACCATGCCGCACTTTAACATGGATGCTCCACATAATCACAGTATACTGACCCCAAGCCGTTCTGTCTGGTTTTATCCCCCTGTTAACCAAGCAGGTTGACAACAAACACCATCTTTGAACGCCTGTTTGTATAAGGAGGTGGGGATCGAACCACCCAACAGCAGCTCCCCGGACAGACACTCTATCCACTAGACTATGAAGGCGGTCGAGTTCGCAGTCAACGCGAATCATCACTGCATGCATATCGTTTACCGTTACCATGAATGTAAACAGGAGGTGAGCATGGTCACCCAACAGTCAATGACATCCAATGACATCACTGCGAATCATCACTGCATGCATATCGTATACCGTTACCATGAACGTAAACAGGCGGTGGGGATCGAACCACCCAACAGCAGCTCCCCGGACAGACACTCTATCCACTAGACTATGAGGGCGGTCGAGTTCGCAGTCAACGCGAAACAGCACTGCATGCATATCGTATACCGTTACCATGAACGTAAACAGGAATGGTGAACATGGTTCAAACCGATCGTAGTTTGTGAAATGGCAACCGTAATGATGGAGGTGTGGGGCGGGAGGTCGTGCATTAAGACGAAGTATAATGTTAAGTTAGTCTTGGACACAGTATTCACTCTTAGGAATTCGCGGGTAAATCTAGCAGGTAAATTCGCGGGTACATCTAGCAGGTAAATTTCGCGGGTACATCTAGCAGGTAAATTCGCGGGTACATCTAGCAGGTAAATTCGCGGGTAAATCTAGCAGGTAAATCTAGCAGGTAAATTCGCGGGTAAATCTAGCAGGTAAATTCGCGGGTACATCTAGCAGGTAAATTCGCGGGTACATCTAGCAGGTAAATTCGCGGGTACATCTAGCAGGTAAATTCGCGGGTAAATCTAGCAGGTAAATTCGCGGGTACATCTAGCAGGTAAATTCGCGGGTAAATCTAGCAGGTAAATTCGCGGGTACATCTCGCAGATAATAAATATCTTAGCTCGTCATACCGAAGATCCGGTTTTATTCCCAACAATACAAAAATCCAATTAATTTGGAAAGATTGCTAAGTGGCATAAAACTATATATTTTCTAACCCCCTGTGTCCCGATCCACTTAGCTTTCAAACGTTACGACCTGTCGTAACTCAATAGTTTATCATAGGCTTACGACCTGTCGTATGTCGCACGACCTGTCTACGAATGCTTTGAGGACCGGGACCCAGGGCTTTGTCGCATACGATGCTTTGTGGATCGATTATGTAAAACGTGTCATGTTTGTTTGTTTTTTTAATAATGTATCATGACCCTCATAAAGAACATTTAAAAAATCAATAAAC